GTCTTGGGAACCTCTGGCTAGATTTCAGAGGATCTATGGAAAAGCCTGGATGTCCAGGAAGGAGCCTGCTGCAGGGGCAGTGCCCTCATGGAGAAGCTCTACTACAGCAGTGGAGAGGAGGGGAAATGTGGGATTGGAGCCCCAACACAGTCCCCACTGGGACACTGCCTATTGGAGCTATGCGAAAGGGGCCACCATCCTCCAGACCCACCAATAACTTGCACCCTGTGCCTGGAAAAGCCTCAGGCTCTCAATGCCAGCCCATGAGAGTGGCTATGGGGGTGCTGAACCCTGCAAAACCACAGGGTCATAGCTGACCAAGGCCTTGGGAGCCCACCCCTAGCATGCTTGGATGTGGGACATGGAGTCAAAGGAGATTATTTTGGAACTTTAAGATTTAGTGACTGCCCTGCTGGCTTTTGGGCTTGCATGAGGCCTGTAGCTCCCTTCTTTTGGGTGATTTCTCCATTTTGAAATGAGAATATTTACCCAATGCTTGTACTCCCATTGTGTCTCGGAAGTACATAACTTGTTTTTGATTTTACAGGCTCATAGGTGGAAGGGATTTGCCTGTGTCAGATGAAACTTGGAACTTTGAACTTTTGAGTTAATGCTGAAATGAGTTAAGACTTTGAGGGACTGTTGGGAAGGCATGATTGTATTTTGCAATGGGAGAAGAACATGAGATCTGATGGGCAAGGGTTGGAATGATATGGTTTGCATCTGTGTCCCCATCAAGTCTCATGTTGAATTGTAATCCCTGGTGTTGCAGGTGAGGTGTGGTGGGAGGTGACTGAATCATGGGGGTGGATTTCTTACGAAGAGTTTAGCACCATCCCCACTTGGTACTGCTTTCATGACAGTGAGTGAGTTTTCATGAGACCTGGTCATTCAGAAGGGTGAGACATGGCCCTCTTCCCTCTCTCTTGCTCCTGCTTCCACCATGTGAGATGTCTCACTGCCCTTTGCCTTATGCCATAACTGGAAGCTTGCCAAGGCCTTCCTACAGGCAGAAACCACTATGCTTCCTATACGGCCTGCAGAACCATGAGCCAACTAAACCACTTTTCTTTATAAATTACCCAGTCTCAGGTGTTTCTCTATAGCAATGTGAAAATGGAATAATACAGAGGGCTTATGATTTTATTTTTACTTCTCAGATTATGTTTTAGTAGAAGAAAAGAGCTAAGTGAGCCGAGTGCGGTGGCTCACACCTGTAATGCCAGCACTTTGGGAGGCTGAGATGGGTGAATCACAAGGTAAGGAGTTTGAGACCAGCCTGGCCAACATGGTGAAATGCCATCTCTACTAAAAATACAAAAAATTAGTAGGGCATGGTGGCGTGTGCCTGTAATCCCAGCTACTCAGGAGGCTAAGGCAGGAGAATCGCTTGAGCATGGGAGACAGAGGTTGCAGTGAGCTGAGATCACACCACTGCACTCCAAACCTGGGCAACAGAGTGAGACTCCGTCGCAGAAAAAAAAAAAAAATAGAAAAGAGCTAAGTGTAGCTGTGGCAGGCCAGGTCTCACTAACACAGGCTTCTGTTACAACTGTCTCAGCACTGACTGAACAGTTAGGTTAAATATTAAAAGCTAATTGAGCCAGTGCCCTTGTAGTAGGACAAGCCACAGACAAAACCCCTCAGACACTGAGTTAAAGAAGAAAGCGGTTTATTCAGCCAGGAGCATCAGCAAGACTCCTGTCTCAAGAGCCGAGCTCCCTGAGTGAGCAATTCCTGTCCCTTTTAAGGGCTCACAACTCTAAGGGGATGCGCATGAGAGGGTTGTGATTGATTGAGCAAGCAGCGGGTACGTGACTGGGGGCTGCACGCATCGGTAATTAGATTGAAACAAAACAAGACAGGGATTTTCACAGTGCTTTTCCATACAATGTCTGTAATCTATAGATAACACAACCAATCAGGTCAGGGGTCGATCTTTAACTACCAGGCCCAGGGTGTGGCGCTGGGCTGTCTGCTTGTGGATTTCATTTCTGCCTTTTAGTTTTTACTTCTTCTTTCTTTGGAGGCTGAAATTGGACATAAGACAATATGAGGGGTGGTCTCCTCCCTTACCCTCATACAAAGCCTGGAATGTAACAGCCCACTAAGAGTTTTTCCTAGGCCTTTCCTGGGCCTTGAAACATGACAAGATAATGAAGGAATTTTTAACAGGACCCTTTTAGGATTAAACACGTTTTTTGGGGGGTCTGAAGAAACTCCTCACACTACCACACGTAAGTTTATTGAGGGTCTAAAGGAACTCCCCAAGCCTCCATGATTTAGCAGGAGATAAGGATAATCACCCCAGCACCTGGACCCATGTAGTTTAAATACATTTCTGAGGCTCCAGGGAAGATTTTCAGGACTCAGATCTTAGTTAATAGGTTAGAAGTTAACCACTTACGTCTTTACATGAATGCACACTTACACATAGACATAGAGCTTAGAAGGTATATAAGCTTTGGAAAACTTTGTAATTTTGAGTTGGTCTGGTGATAATTTCCAGGTCTTCTCCCTGTAACTGGTTACAAAAATAAAAATTCTTTCCTCTCCCAGTTCGTCCGCATCTTGTTATTGGTGATGAGAACAAGCAGCCCGACCCTCGTTTTGGTCTGGGAGCATAGTCATGGCTTAGATCACTGCAGTGGAACAGAAAAGGCTAACTATAATGATAGTTATATATAGATCTGAAGCTGCTTTACTTGAAATGTCTCTGAACTGGCTGATATGTAGGACAATCCTTTACATGTTCTAGATTGTAAAAGAAGATAAGAAAAGAAAAATAGCTCAGAGCAGTCTGAGCCATGTGAGGTGTGCAAATTTTATCAGGCCCCCAGTGACACAAGCGTGGGACTTCAATCATCCTCTCTACACCTATGCCTGGGGGCAGTTGTTTAAAGGCATCTAGAAATCCTCTCCTCCAACTGCCCTGTGGACTCAGAAACTGAGTTTCCAACTATTAGCCTTCGTTTTTGTTTATTTTCATAGAAAATTCCCCTCATTAAATGCCTGATGGCTAGTACCATCTAGCAGAAACCCTCTACTACCAAGTCCCAACTGGGGATTCCACTGGCTTTAACTGAATGAGAAAAGGGACTTAGATTGTTCAAAGCAGGGAACTGACTCGGTTTTGAGCACTCCATTTCCCCTCTTGACTCTCCATGCCCTGGGGACATTTTGGTCTGAGAGCCCTTCTCTCACTTCAAGAATCAGATTCAGAACCAAAGGCTGAGCTTGTGTGTGGCAGCAAAGCTGATGGCCCATGCATCTGGGGCACTTCCTTCTTCTCCACACCACCCCTGTTCAACTTTCTTCTGGGGGAAACTTCCGAACATTTCAGTCATGTGTCTGCTGGGAGGTACAGGGAGGCTTGACTCCTGAGCCCTTCCAGGAGGACAGGAAGGCTTCTTCCTAGGCCTGCAGGGATGGTCTCTCTGCCCTCTGTGAGCTTGGCTGGGTCTTGACAGAGAGTGTGGATCTTTTTTTTTTTTTTTTTTTTTGAGACGGAGTCTCACTCTATCGCCCAGGCTGGAGTGCAGTGGCGCAATCTTGGCTCACTGCAAACTCCGCCTCCCGGGTTCACGCCATTCTCCTGCCTCAGCCTCCCGAGTAGCTGGGACTACAGGCGCCTGCCACCACGCCCGGCTAATTTTTTGTATTTTTAGTAGAGACGGGGTTTCACCGTGTTAGCCAGGATGGTCTCGATCTCCTGACCTTGTGATCCACCCGCCTCGGCCTCCCAAAGTGCTGGGATTACAGGCGTGAGCCACCGCGCCTGGCCGAGAGTGTGCATCTTAATAAAAAAAAAACAAAAAAACTATCCCTTTTCATAATCTTTTTAAAAAAAAGAGTAAGGTGTTTGTTTTTACATTTTTGTTTCTCTGTAGGAGACTGAGGATCTAGGATTCCCCTGGAGGAAGCAGGGGCATTCCTTCTATGATTGGTTCCCTCAAGTGGACACACACATATACACACAAGTACATGCACATACGTGTGCAGACACACACACAAAGTACATGCAAATATGTGTGTAGATACACACACACAAGTACATGCACATATGTGTGTGGATACACACGCACACACAAGTACATGCACATATGTGTGCAGACACACGCACACACAAGTATATGCACATAAGTGTGTGGATACACACATGCACACACACCTGTGGGACATGATGAGGTTTCTCTTCAAATAATCTGATCAATATTTTATTCTTTAATTCATAGTACCCAACCCACATCTGTGTGAAGAGACCACCAAACAGGCTTTTGTGTGAGCAACAAGGCTGTTTATTTCACCTGGGTGCAGGTGGGCTGAGTCCGAAAAGAGCATCAGTGAAGGGAGATGGGGTGGTGCCATTTTCTAAGATTTGGGTAGGCAGTGGAAAATTACAGTCACAGGGGGTTGTTCTCTGGCTGGCCGGGGTGGGGGTCACAAGGTGCTCAGTGGGAGAGCTTTTTGAGCCAGGATAAAGGAATTTCACAAGGTAACATCATCAGTTAAGGCAGGAACAGGCCATTTTCACTTCTTTTGTGATTCTTCAGTTGCCTCAGGCCATCTGGATGTGTAAGTGCATGTCACAGGGAAGATGATGGCTTAGCTTGGGCTAGAGGCCTGACACCCCCTTTCTCCTTTTTTCCTTTTTGCCTTTGTTAGCTGCCCAGGCGTGCCACAGTACTAGGCGTTATCAGTACCAGCTCACATTCCTTTCCTTATTTGGAAAGAGGACTAACTTTCTAGTTCATTGAGACAGAGTCTCACTCTTTCGCCCGGGCTGGAGTGCAGTGGTGCAATCTCGGCTCACTGCAAGCTCCGCCTCCCGTGTTCACGCCATTCTCCTGCCTCAGCCTCCCGAGTAGCTGGGACTACAGGCGCCCGCCACCACGCCCGGCCAATTTTCTGTATTTTTAGTAGAGACGGGGTTTCACTGTGTTAGCCAGGATGGTCTCGATCTCCTGACCTCATCATCTGCCCGCCTCGGCCTCCCAAAGTGCTGGGATTACAGGCGTGAGCCACCATGCCCAGACTCCACTTTCTTTTACTTGCCCACCTTATCTAAAAAAATCAAATGTTTAGCCAACTGGGATTAGTTTAGATTGTATGACCTGACCCCGGCCAATGGGAAAAGGTACAGGGGCAGGACTTGCGTCAGGAATAAAGGCTCTCGTGCCCCTTTGTTCAGGTGTGTTCTCATGGTGACTGGCCAAGGAGGCACCCTTCTGTGCAGAAATAAAATTGCTTTGCTAAAAATCTGTTGTTCGAGTTGTAGCAGGACAAGCCGCAGACAAAACTACTCAGACACCGAGTTAAAGAAGGAAGAGGTTTATTCGGCCGGCAGCATTGGTAAGACTCCTGTCTAAAGAGCCAAGCTCCCCAAGTGAGCAATTCCTGTCCCTTTTAAGGGCTCACAGCTTTAAGGGGGTCCATGTGAGAGGGTTGTGATCGATTGAGCAAGCAGGGGGTACGTGACTGGGGGCTGCATGGACTGGTGGTCAGAATGAAACAGAACAGACTGGGAAGTTTCACAATGTCTTTCTGTAATCTACAGATAACATCAGTTGCTAGGTCAGGGGTCGAATTTTAACTACCAGGCTTAGGTCAGGCAGGCCCAGGCCTGGTTTCAGGTCTGGTTGCTTGCTTTCAGGTCTGGTTCGTAGGCGCTGGGCTACCTGCCTTTAGTTTTGCTTCTCTTTCCTTTTCTGAATATAAAACAATATGAGAGGGTCTGTCTCTCTTCTCTCAGAGTGTTCAATTTCCTTAGGATTTTGAGTTTTATTCCTCACACACCCTTGAAACCCCCTACACTCACACAGATACACACACGGAGGGCACCCATGCATGCAGGCATGTAGCACATGTGAACACATATATACACACATGTGTGTTCCTGTCTGGCTTTCACCTCTGGGGCTACAGAGATTGGAGGAAATCAGGAGAGGAGACAGGGCGAGCCAAAGGAGAGTATCGAGCAGAGGAGAGGGGTCCGTTAGGAGAAGAGGCCACGCTTCCCAGGAGACCAGGGAGCTCCCTTTCCTGCTGCAACTCTCTAAAATCCTATGTTTATCTTCTTGGACTTGGGAATCGATTCTCCAATAGTGAAACCAGATGGACTCTGCTTTCAGATGGACATATCTTTCTGGGGGTTGAATTCCTGTGGAGACTTGAGCTGAACGTGTGAGTTCTCTGTGGCCCTTCTGGACTATGAGGTATACACTCGGGGTTCAGATTTGTATGGAGATGAAATTTATTAGAATGGGAGGCAAAACACAAAAAACGGAGGGGATCAGTGCGGGAAAGAACCATACATGTTGACGTCCCCCGAACACTTACAGAACTATCCCCTGTTCTTCCTCATCTATAGTCATGAAACTGGTGGGTTTGTTTAATTAGTTCTTTCTGATCTCTTTACACTCTCGGAGAATGTAAGGGGTCAGCAGATTTCCGCTGAAGCCACCTCAGAGCTGGGGTGTGCAAATGTGTGGTGACCACATTTGTCTTCTTGTGGCTATTGAGATAAGGTTTTATTACTAAAGACTTACTCATTCTTCTTGCAGACTAGGGCTTCTGACCTGTGTGTATCCTCTGGTGTCTGAGGAGGTTTGACTTAATGCTAAAGCCCCGCCCACACCCCCTGCAGACGTAGGGCTTCCCCTCTGTGTGTGTCCTTTGGTGTCTGAGGAGGCTTGACTTCCGGCTAAAGCGCCGCCCACACCCCCTGCAGACGTAGGGCTTCCCCTCTGTGTGTGTCCTTTGGTGTGTAATAACATCTGACTTACCACTGAAACCTTGCCCACACTCTCCATACTTGACTTTTGCAATTCTTGAGATTTCTACCCCCACAAATAATTTGCCTGTGTTCCCTGGATTCGCTTTCTGGCCTGTTCTGAACTCTTCCATCATTCTTTCTCCCACTCTAGAGCTCCCCATTTGTCCTTTGGGTGGGCTAGTAAAAGCCCTTAGAATCTCCCTCTGCTATGTCCTTTTATTCAAGAGTTTGGACCTTTCTTTGATCTCTTGACCTTTGGTTTTGTCATTACAGCTGGATGGATCAGAATATTGCTGCTCCTGATTCTGATCCCCTGGGCAGGGATTCTCTGACTGGAGGAGTTTTCTTGCAGATGGTCCTGGGAAGTTCTGAGAGGAGTGATTGCGTTCCACATGTTGACAGAAATTTCTGACTTCAAAAGGCCAGACAGCATGAGGGGCATGGATAGATCTCTGGCTTTGGTTCTGAAAGAGGAAGTTTTTGGTCAGGGTAGACGTTTTGTTCAGGCCTTACCACATACAAAGGTATGAAGATCAAATGAAAACCAGTCATTCTTCATATGTTAACAATGCAAACTCTCTCCTAGCAAGTGCTGGATGGACCTTTACAGTCCATTTTTCCATTCTACTTTTATTCACTACATCTTAAAAAATTCAGAAATCCCACATCTTGGGCCTTTTCGACACATCAGCCAGACGAGGTAAAACCTCAAGCAGCACCAGGGGCAGCGTCATTCCTTACATAGATGGAACTGCAGTGACCTGCCCCCACAAGTCCTATAGTCTTCCCTGATCACCCTCTGCTACATCCTCCCTCCCTGGTCCCTGGGCACTTTTGCTGACACGAGGTCTTCAGTTATTTTATTCTATTGAGAAATAACACTCTTGGTGACTTAGGTGAGATTTTCCTTAGTGACTTCCTAAGAGGGGAAAAGGATCTATTAGGAACACTCAGCCTGGAGATCCACAAATGTGGTGAAAGAGAAGATGTGTGAGCAAATCTGAATTTGAGTCTCCTCATTCAAAAGGACATATTTAATTGAGGACTGTTATGTGCCTGCTTGTCTGTCACGAGGTGGGATTCAGGTTGGCCAACACAGAGTGGTCCAGGTCCCACTGACTAAAGGACTCGGTCCTGCTGCCCCAACTAGGTGCATGAACTGCTTCTATTTCAGATTCCACAAATCATAAAATGAGAATATGCTCTTTCTCAGGCTGCACATCAGGTATTCATGTTTGAGTTATTTCATTCAGTCTGAGCCCATTTCAAAAACAATAGGAAGTCTTGTTTCAAAATATATCCCTGCTCAGGCTTACCTCCGTGCTCCCCACCTTCATCCTGTCCACCATTCTCTCTCACCTGGAAACTGGAGCAGCTCTGAGGGGATGACCCACCGCAGCCTGTTTTCCAAGAATGAACAAAAGCTGAACTATTTCTGGCCTCAGGACCATTGCACTAGCTGCGCCCTGTGCCTGGAACTCTTGGCCCACAGGCACTTGCACTTCTCAAATGCTGTCTCCTAAGAGAAACTTTCCCTGACAATCCCCTGCAACACTCTACTCTCACCTCACACTGACCCCCAGGTCTCACACTGACCCCAGGTCTCACATTGACTCCAGGTCTCATGCTGATCCCCAGTGACTCTTTCTGGATTCATTTTCTTCAAAGCACTAATCACTGTCTGATATTACACATATGTCTGTATGTCATCATATGGTTCCCTAATTCACATGTCATCTGTTCAAAAGCAGTTTTTCCGATTGTCTTGATCAATCTGTATTTACACTTCCTGCAACATCATCTGGCACAGAGTAGGAATTCACATGACAGCTAATTGAGATAATGAATCAATGAATAACAGCACATGTATATCATTAATAAACATCACAGAAATGCCAGAAGAAACTACCTTGTTGGGAGAGCTGGTAGGTGTTTGAGAACTTGATTTTTGTCTTTAAGTCTTTCAGTACTATATGCTGTTAAATACTTTGTGCATGAAGTACTTAGAATATAAAATCAGAACAAAAATTTAAAACAATAACAATTGTTCCAAAGAGGCAAAGGCATATAACATGAATATTTAATTTTGGAAGCCACTGATGTGAAATTTTACTGACTTTAGATGGTATTTTACTCTCCTTAAGAGTTAAGGCCGGGCGCGGTGGCTCAAGCCTGTAATCCCAGCACTTTGGGAGGCCGAGACGGGTGGATCACGAGGTCGAGAGATCGAGACCATCCTGGCTAACACGGTGAAACCCCGTCTCTACTAAGAAATACAAAAAACTAGCCGGGCGTGGTGGCGGGCACCTGTAGTCGCAGCTACTCGGGAGGCTGAGGCAGGAGAATGGCGTGAACCCGGGAGGCGGAGCTTGCAGTGAGCTGAGATCCGGCCACTGCACTCCAGCCTGGGCTACAGAGCAAGACTCCGTCTCAAAAAAAAAAAAAAAAAAGAGTTAAACCATGAAAATTCTCTAGGATAATTCTTTCTTTCCTGTCCTTTTAAAAGAGTAGTAGTGATGCCTACCTCTCCTGGCCATGAGCTCTTTCTTCCACTTGCTGCCCCACTTGATGCCCAGTTCCTGGCCGTACTCATCCCCATACCAGACCAGCAGTTCACAGCCTGGCCTAATGACTCGGCAGGTTCTATAGAAGATCCGCCTGTGGTACTAGAAGGCCACCAGGTTCTGTTGTTCATCATCCCGGGCACAGTTCACATACCTGGGGTCAAGACAGGCAAAGGGAAAGAAAAGAGGCAGTGAGTTCCCAGTATCTGTCAGATCCAGGTCTGACCCGTCACCTGCTGGTCTAGGCCTCCATGGTCTAGTGCTGACCACTCCCCCACCACTCCTCTGGGAACCTTCTGCTCATTCCTAAATCTCTTTCACAACGTCATATGAACTTGCACTTCTGACTACACTGCTCATCCTGCCTAGAATGCTTCCCTGCTGTGCCTAATGAACCATTTTTTCAAAGCCCAACTCCAGACCTACCTCCACCTTGATTGGCCATAAAACACATTGACCTCTAGCTTCTCTAAACTCTAAATTAATTCTGTTTTATACACAGAACTTGGTGCTGGATCATGTGCTTTGTTTCTAGATTAGCACGCATCATTCTACACTCAGCCCAAGTCCATCTTTCTTGGATAGGCCTTCCTCTAATCACCCTACAGTTCACTCAGGTGCCATTCACCTGAGTTCCCCAGATTCCCAGAGAAACTTAGAAGTCTTTTTCTCTTGGCCCAATAACACAGAACAGTAATAGTTGATTTGTTTTTCTCTTCTCTGATAGAACGAGAGCCCATTGTGGAAAGGGGCTGGGTCACCCTGAAGCTCGCTTCTGTTCAAGTAGTGAACTTCACTTCCTAACCTGGAGCATACTAAGTGCTTAATAAATGTGGATTACATATATTAAAGCATGAATTCAGTGTCCCCCGTGAATCTAGGCTTCTCAAGGTTTATCTTGGTGCCTCAATTTTGTCTAACATACATATTTATGTTTTGATATCAATAAATCATAATATCTATATTTTTGTTTTTTATTTCTAAATGTTGACGGTATAAAACAGCATTGTATGGAGAAAAATAGAAATAGGGGATGTGAAAATCATTGAAGGAGGCATAATGAGAAAGAAGGAGATCCAGGTTTGTGAGAGATGAAGGTTCTGTCTGAAACTCAGAGAGCTACTGGCCTTACCTCATCCAGTTGGCCCAGGATTTATCTTTTCCATCCACATACTCATAGCAGTTTCTCCCCTTGGTGATCTGAGTTTCAGAAAAATAAGGTAAAGCTTTTTAGAGGGTAAAAATCAGAAAAATTATTTTACTCCACTGTCATCAATGGCCTTTGGGCCTGCAGAGCTTCAACTGCCAAGTGAGACCACATGGCCTGCACCTTAGTCATCATCTACACATCTCAGTTGGTTTGTCTAGTCAGAGCAGAAGCTCCACAAGGGAGGATGCACTTCTTTGTCTTTGTACCACTTTGCTCCCAGGTACCCTCTGATCTCTAAATAGGAGTTCCATGTTCATGCAAGGACCCTTGAGTACACAGAGCTAACCATGTTATCCATACCTATATCCTAACATGTAGAAGGTGATATCTCACCAAAGGCACAGAAGGGATGTGGGAAGAGAGAACAGGGAAACAGTAGGCTCTTCTTACCAGCCAGGAGTGTCTATTGTTGGCTGCCTCTTTGTCTTCTGTAATTCGGCCCTCATAGGGGCCAAAGTGCAGACCCAGCGGCAGATCAGATGCCTCGTTCCATACTCCAAGCCCAGCCTGAGGGATGCCTGATGGCCCAATTCTCAGCCCCGGGGGCAGACTGAGGGCTGAACGGTTGGGATGCCCTTTGTTCACTGCATTGTCTTTTACAAATGTAGGGGGCCCATGAGCAGCACAGCTGTCAATGAAGAAGTTCTGACACATCTCAATCTGGAAGTGAGGGAAGCAGGGATTAGGAAAGTTATAATGCATGTTCCTCGATATAAGAGCTTCAGAAAGATTTCGGTGCTCACATTATTTATCCCCAATCTTATACTCTAATTCGTTAGAGTGAAGGAATGATTTGTGGGCCAAATGATGAAATTATTGTACCAGGACATAACAGCAAGCTGTGAGAGTGGCCAAAAGGGCCGACAGGTAGTCATCATCCTGCAGCTCACTGACCTCTTTGTATGCATGACCCTTTCTTTCTCTCAGGCTATACATCTTTCCTTCAGTCTCCTTCCTCCTGAGCTCTAGGTTGGAGAAGAGTAGATGGGTAAAATTGGGAGTCTGGAGTGTTCGTCCTTGTTTCATAAGAAAATGTGAAATCTCCTACCATCAAATTAGCATCTACCTTTCTACATACTCTAGTCTTCCCTTCTTTACTGCTTCAGAGAGACTTAGACCCCACACCTACACTGACTACAGATGCCTATTCAATTTTAGTTTCTGGCTGTTCTCATTATCCCATTAACCTCCCAACCTTTCTACTTACAAAATGGTTCATTCATGCATTTATTCATTTATAAAATATTTCTTGAGGGCACATTTCATCTTAGGCATTGAACAAAGGCCTGGACATACAACACCAAGAAAGTATAATCTGTATCAGAGATCTTCTATAAACTAGTTGACATGTGATGGGAGAGGAAATGTAGAAATGCACAAAAGAAGATCTATTATCAGAGGTATTTATTGGACGCCTTGCATGTATCAATTCATTTATATTTAATTTAATGATTTCAAGCAATATATGAGCTGTATATACTTGGTCTCATTTTACAGATTACCATTCAGGAGCTCAGATAATTTATAAGATTTGCCCAAGGCCCCAATGCTTCTACGTGGATTATAACTCAAGTGAGTGACCAAAGTTAATGTTCTTACATGCTATTCAATAGTGTATCCAAGGCCGGGCATGGTGGCTCAAGCCTGTAATACCAGAATTTTGGGAGGCTAAGGTGAGCAGATCACTTGAGGCCAGGAGTTTGAGACCAGCCTGGTCAACATGGTGAAACCTTGTCTCTATTAAAAATACAAAAATCAGCTGGGCATGGTGGTGCACGCCTATAATCCCAGCTACCTGAGTGACTGAGGCATGAAAATCGCTATTTTCATGGAGGCAGAGGTTGCAGTGAACCGAGATCACGCCACTGCACTCCAGCCTGGGTGACAGAGTGAGACTGTCTCAGTGAACAAATAAATAATTTTAACAAAATGCTGCATCTAACTTCTGCTCTCACAGTTGAGTCCAGCTTAAGCCCAGGCCTATCCAAAGTCCACCCCATATAGGTAGACCATACTCATCAACCTTTCTAGAGGACATAGAGGGACTAAAGTCCCCCCATACTTTTTCTTACCCAGTTTTAGTCTAGAGTGCTGTCCAGAGGTACTTGCTTCTCCAGGAGGGGACGCTGGTTTCTGAGCCTGCTCTGAGCCACTTGTACTCAGTAAATTTGGTGTTCCTGACAATTCTTTCAAACTAGATTCATTATTGAATGATGTCTTGGGCATTTCCTTTAATGTGAGAGTCACATATTAAAAGATAACATGCACTTCTTTAGTTCTTTATGGCTTGCAACATGTTTTCATATGCATGACTCTAGTTAATGTTCAAACCTTGGAAATACCTAGAGTGTCTAAATACTAGAGGGAAAAGAAAAGGTCTAAGTGGGTAGTGAATCTGGGACTCTAACCCATGTCTTAAGGCTCTTTCCTTCAACTGTCTCTCAAAATGTTCTGTATAAGTTAAAGGGAAGGAGGAAGAATACTTGGGAAGACTAGCTGGAGAATCAACGCGATCTGTGAAAGAAGGGGTAAGGGCTTACAGAGAGAAGGAGGGAATCTTCCATAAACTAGTAGACTTTTGATGGAAAGGGAAATGTAGAAAAGCAGAGGGACAAAGCACATGCAGAAAATGAGGTAATAGGGCAGTAAGGTTGGGAACAGAACAAAGAGATGATTGGCAAAAATATATCTGGACAACTAAGAAAATGATGTCAAAGTTGCATGTTGCCATATCCTGGAAAGAATATTTGGCTTTGGAATTAGATTAGTTAATTCCTGTACCAATTCTGCTTGTCTGCTTGAATAAGGGTGTATTGTTAGCTAATTCTCTTTAGTTTCCTGATCCAGAAATTGACATGCATGCTTGCTTTTTTTTTTTTTTTTTTTTTTTTGGAGTCTTGCTCTGTTACTTAAGCTGGAATGCAGTGGCACGATTTCAGCTCACTGTAGCCTCCACCTCCCAGATTCAAGAGATTCTCCTACCTCAACCTCCCGAGAAGCTAGGGTTATAGGCACCAGCACACCCAGCTAATTTTTGTGTATTTATTAGAGACAGGGTTTCGCTAGGTTGGCCAGGCTGGTCTCGAACTCCTCACCTCAAGTGATCCACCCACCTCAGCATCCCAAAGTGCTGGCATTATAGGCAAGAGCCCCCGCACCCAGCCCATGCTAATTTTTTAATTCTTTTTTTTTTTTTTGTGAGAGGGAGTCTCACTGTTGCCTAAGCTGGAGTGCAGTGGCACAATCTCAGGTCACTGCAGCCTCCATCTCCCAGGTTCAGGTGATTCTCCTGCTTCAGCCTCCTGAGTAGTTGGGATTACAGGTGTCCACCACCATGCCCACCTGATTTTTGTAGTTTTAGTAGAGATGGGGTTTTACCATGTTGGCCAGGCTGGTCTCAAACTCCTGACCTCAGGTGATCTGCCCACCTCCGCTTCTCAAAGTGCTGGGATTACAGGTGTGAGCCACTACCCCTGGCGCTAATTCTGAATATTGTAGTGAACACGAAAGATAATAATGTTCACTAAGTGTTTTTTGAGC